GAAGTTATACGTGCTAAACCTGTAAGAGATAGTCTAACTGTTGCTTGACATTAAAAGCATCAGGACAAAAATATTAAATCTTCGACTTTATGTTTTAGGCATCTTTTTTTAAATGTATGTTTTTTATTCGTAGTTTTTGTCATCGATTAAAAATGAAATACGTCGGTACAGTTTATTCACGCCATGTCTCCATTTTATCTTGTATTTCCTATTTTATAACATATGCCACGAAATGAACTGGAAAATTAGAAGCAACATCATACACCAGACTAAAAAGTATCTTTAAACAAACTGTCGAAAAATTAGTAAAGTATTGGGACAAAATAAAAAATGTGAAGAAAGAAGAAACTACCGAAATCTTGAATTTTGTGAATCTTAAAACACTAAACAGCCCTCTTCAATTTGTTTAGGGTAAAGGTGGTCAAAGGAAGTAAAAAGCCTGAGTATTTGAATTTTGATTTCTAGACAAGTGTGGTATTGATTCATATATTTTTTTCCGAATCGAATGGAACCAAACCCAGGGAGACAGAAATAATAGTTTACAAGTTGTGTGCGTTTTATGCATAAAATGTATTTCTTTATGTATTTCTTTATGTATATGTATTTTTTTGACAAGCGTAAATTAGCTTTATTCATAGTTTTATCTGGTAAGAATTATATATTATTTCAAAAATCTATTTTCATTTTATAATTATATTTTCATTTTAAATTCAAACGCCGTTTAATATTATTTTATGTGCCAAAACGCATCTCCATAAGAGAGCAAAATAATAATCAAATAACTAAAATAATCAAAAATAAACTCAATCCACTCAAAAATTCATTAAAACAAATTTTTTTTAACTGTTTAACGTTGCTTGGAATGATGTTTTATCTACCAAAAGGAAATTATTTTTTTCCGGGAAAATCGGGAGCCATTATAGAATTCCATTTCTTTTCTAACTACTAATGCGATTAAAATTGCATTATTAATATCTAACTATAAAAGCACCACTCAATAGCTCTAAATAAATCTATTTAAAAAAGTATATAATAAATAAACCGTATTATAGTCGTAAAAACAATTAAAATTGACCTCATACATAATTTCATGAAATGAACAGAATTAACATATATTTTTTTAAAAATTAATTGCCATTAAATAATTCCATTTCCTTACTCTCTGCGACTGCTGTCTAAATTGTTTTATTATCCAATTATAAAAACACCACTCAATACAAAATCAAAATAATTCTAATTTAATCTATTTACAAAAATATATAATAAATCAACATTATTATTGCCGTGAAAAGCAATTTAAATTGACTTGATATGTAATTTCATCAAGCAAACAGAATGATATATTTTTTTTAAAAAATTCAGTGTCATTAGTTAATTCTATGACTTTTTTCAGTACGAATGCGGTAAAAATTGTTTGAGCACCGCTTAATACAAAATCAAAATAATTCTAAGTCAATCTATTTATAAAAATATATAATAAATCAGCATTATTATAGCCGTAAAAAGCAATTTATATTGACTTGATATGTAATTTCATCAAGCAAACGATATTGATATATTTTTTATCCAGCAAAAGATATTGATATATTTTTCAACAAGCAAACGATATATTTTTTTAAAAATCCATTGTCGCTAGATAATTCTACAACCTTTCTCAGTACAAATTCTTTTATTAAAATTGTTTTATCAAAAACTAATTATAAAAACACCACTCAATGCGAAATCAGAAAAATTTTAAATCAATTCATTTCAGAAATACAATAAATCAACATTATTTTGACCGGTTTCAATCTACGGAATAAAAAAAAAGAATGGAATTAAATGCTTTTTATTATGTAAATTTATCTCAGCACAGCGAGCTAGAACTCAAGGTCGTTCTGTATGTAGAGCTTTACGTTGTTGTCAAAAAGATGTTTTAAAAATAATGGCGATTTCTGAGTTATTACCTAACATTACAAATTTTATCCTTGAGGCTGCTGTCCAAAGTAAGAGAGAGTTTTTGTTTTCATTTTTTAAGATAAATGTTTTTTTTTTCTTTTTCGAATACTCTCGGATGAAGTCACAAGTTCTATCGTAAGTTAGTCGTGATTTTGGAAACTTGGAACAAATTAGCTTTAGTTGGTCATTTAAGATTTTTTCTAATTCCTTTTTTTTCTGGCGCTTTAGTAAAATGTATTTCTATTGTAAACAGAAGCTATTTGTTCCACTGTGGAGTTTATACGACGGGTAATTATATGAAAGACTTATTTAACTGGTTGCGATTTTTTGACTTTTTTTTTGTTCAATTTAATGTTAAATTGAGTAAAAAATAAATTTACTCATTAAAAAACTCATTATTTTTAAAAATTTTTTCCACCTTTTCTCTGAATTCTTTCAGTTGAAGTCGCAATTGACCAGCCTTAGTTTCTTTCTTTTTTTTGGAAACTTCGAATTAACTAGCTTCAGTTGGCCATTTACGAATTTTTCGAATTCCTTTTTTTTCTTGCTCTTTTTTAATATATTGCTATTGAAAACAGGAGCTATTTGTTCTATCAAGGAATTCATGCGATAGGTGATTACATGAAGGACTTATCTTTCAAGATTGTGATTTTTTATACTTTAGTTTAGTTGCTGTAAATCTGATATTAAATTTTAAAAAAAAATTAACCACTACAAACTTCCTTCTTTTATTTTTGCACATTTTTTCGAACTTTTCTCAGTAATTGGTTTTAATTGTGATTTTGTAAAATAGGAATTAATTAGCTCGAGCTAATAATTCACGAATTTTTCCAATTCCTTTTTTTCTGGCATTTTTAATAAATAACAAGGTAAAAAATTCATAAAAATTCGCTTGAAAATTCATACAGACAACAAACTATCTATTATAAACAAGAGCTATTTGTTCTGAAGTTAAAATTTTTACCATTGTCATGTTATGATATGAAGAAATGTTACTCATTTTTCAAGGTTGTCATTTATAACCTGCATTTTAATTTGTTGAGAACTCAAAATTAGAATGAATCTATAAATAATAACAGTAACTAACAACTGTTACAACAGTAGCCAATTGTTTGGTCAAGAAAATTATATTCTGCTGTAGTGCATATATATAAGTAGAAATCAGAATGTTAATTACTTTTATAATGAATAAAGTTTTCATGATATAGATTTCTGATTTACAAAAATGAACTTAGAAGCAATAATGACAATGATAAAAAAAAACATTAAAGCTTTTTTAAAAAAATAATGAAAATTTCTTTTATCAGTGGTTTATCAATTTAAATTGAAAATAAGAGGAAATAAATTTACACAAACAAGTTAACGCTCTCTTAAATAAACGCATTTCTATTGTTTTCTTAAATATAACTTACACAAAAACTTGTTTTCGTTAAGTTAAATAGTGAAATTCAAGGTAACTTGTTTGATTAAGTCACATAAAACAACAAAATAATTTTATTAAACTACAACTTTTTGATCCTAATCTGTAGTAGAATGTTTTTGTAATGCATGTAGAAGAAAATTTATTTTTAAATTTTTTTCGACAGAAATTTTAATTCTCAGAAAAAACATGAGCCCTTAATATATTTATTTTTTTCTGTTGCTGTTGTTAATATTGTTGTTTTTAAAAGTTAAATATTGTTCTTGATCTATTGCAAAGTTAATATATAAAGTTCTATTGTAAAGTTAAATACTGTATTGAGTTCTTTTAAACTTTGACTAAATTTCAATAACTTCAGGTTCATGATGATTATTGCATGAGCAAAAGTGACACAAGTGGATAAGTGGATTACAAAATAAGAAAAATTTACCAAAAATCCATTATTTGGTTCTTTAGATACTAAAGAAATTCGCATTTTTCTAAGTAATATACAACCATTCGTGAACCAACAGGAGGTTTTTCCTATCAAGTTTTTAAGAAAAGTTTGAATTTGTGAAGACCTATTTGCGGTTCTCGCAAACAAAGTTGCTTTTTCTAGTTAAGGAATTTTCCAATATTCTCCCAACTATAAAAAGTTCCTTGCGCATCAGTTTTTTTTAAAAAAATTTTATTAAAATGTTATCAGTTACTTGTTGACGCGTCTAGTTTAATTTTAAGTGCATTTGATTGGCTCAATACTTTGATTTTTTAAGTAATAGAATTAAGGTGGGTTTTTCGAAGAAATTTTTGGTGAAAAAACAAAACTATGTAACAAACTAGACTGCATAAAAAAAACTAGTTATAGCAAACCCTCAGGTTTGTTATAACTTTATACAGATACCATAAACCATTTAAATTTATTTAAATACCTACTAACAACGTATCTAAGTAAAAAGTTTAATTCAAAAAAATGTGCTTAACTGAATTAACTAAATGCAGCTTTGTAAGCCCCTTCTAGTTATCAATAATTTAAGCCATACTTTAGGTTGTAACTTTAAAACTAACTATTATTTTACTTAAGACTTCTTTTAATTCTACTGGTCTTCTGTTAAAATTTGAAAAACATTGAATAAAAATAGCATTTTTTTAAACCTCTTTTGTCTTTTCACGAGGACCTTATAAAGGAGAAGGAAGCCTTCATAGAAAGTTCTCTTTCATCCTAATAACTAATTTAAAATTTAAAGTATTGAAAAAAAGTTATTTTTAAAAAAAAACATTTGAGCTTTTTTGTTTATTTTTGGATTATATGAACTTTATTTTCAATATTTTAAATTACTCATACAACAGAAAAGAAATTTTCCATGAACGGTTTTTCTTTCAGTGACTCCTTTTTACGAGAGCAAGAAATATTAGTGAGAAAACTTAGCTAATTTTTTTTTTTTTAACAAAATAAGCTTGAAAAAAAAAGATGACCATATGCACTTAGTGCAGGGAACTTAATCTTTCGTTTTGGGCCTTGATAATACAAAAATAATTAAATATTCCTGTTTTTTTGTTGTTATATGTTGAGTTTTTTAAATTCACATACTTGGAATGTTTAGAAAATTATTATTTTTTATAGTACAAAAACTATATTTGAGGATTAAATATTGATAAGACATACCTCGTTTGTACTATTGGTGGTCCAGGTGTATCATCATGCCCTTTTCTGAAAGAGGAAAAAAAATTATATTTTCTGAACACAGAGTTATAAGAATCATGTGAATATTAATAATTGACAAATGGATCTAATTTAATGTAATTTGAAAATATTTCATATAATATTTTTTATGTATTTTAGAATAGCTAAGCAAGCTCATAAGTGTTTAAAGTCAAATTCTGCTTCGGCATAAAAGTTAAACTTTTAAAAAAAGGACATGAAATAAATGTATTGAAAGTTATTAAAAACTTTAATTTTATAGTGTATGAAAATAAATATAACAAATACCGTATCTTTTTTTTTTGTAGTTGAGCAATAATAATTTTTTATCGTAACATATTAAATATAGTATGGTTGTTTCCTTTATCATAGTTAAACATTAATAATATTATAGTTTTTTCTCTCCGTAGTATAGCAATTATATTGTAGTTTTTTTCAATCGTAGTATCGAAATCATATCGTTGTATAGAAATCGTACTTTATCTTCGTATAGCGGATATATTTTTCAAGTTTTTTTCTTAGCGTAGAAATAACACAGTTACAAATTTTGGTTGCAGTTTTCCATGTTTTTTTTTATTGTATAATTACACTAAAAACTTACTCAGACAATAAGAAACAATTTTTCCTCAAGCATCTACTTCTAAATCTATGCTCGGAGTTGTTACTATGATTGATAGTGTAAATTAATTTTTTATCGGAGTTTTATGCTAATCCATAAACATTTCAGAAAAATTTCGCTTTTTATGCTACTCAAATATAATATTTAGTCATTATTTTTTTAGTTTATTGGTCTTTTCACAACACAACTGTCAACAAAACGTTTTATTTATTCCAAATGACAGTAATTTTTTCTTATAGATGTTTTCAAAATTAATCGCAGATCATTTAACTTATTAACAATTCAGTACCTGCTCTGCACATTTAAAGAAAACTAATCAATTAACTTCGAAACAACCGAAAATCGAAACAACCCATATAACTTTTATTCAACCATTTTGCCCCTAGCTATGCGCACACATTGACTTTATATATGCGCATTAACAAGTCGGTGTAAGCATATAATATTTCATCTGTCATTGTTTGATACGTTCCATAACGACATTTGGCGGTTTCTAGCATCGCCATTTCTCACATAAGGTATCATTTTCAGCGCCCATCTCCATTGCCTTTGGCTCTTTAATTGTAACGGATGGCGGCGTTTTGTTATGTCATGTATAGTGCTACAAGAGCCGTAATTACGTATTGAGTTATTCTGTAAGTGCAATTAAAATATGTGTATTTGTCATTTTTCAAATCCCATTTCCTTTTTTTTCATTCGTTTATTCCACTGGAGCTTTTCATCTTCCTTATAAGTACAACCAACTAAATGTTGCATTGATAACAATATGAATAATTCTAAATTAATTTGTTGTGAATTTTTTTATTTACGAAATTTTTTTTATTATTAAAGTTTTTTGTTGAGAGTTTTAACTATTTCGATGTAAATTATAAAAACTCAACGATGCTTATTTTACAGTTTTTTACTGAAGTTTATAAATAAGTTTTAAAATTATATTTATATAATAATTATAAATATTTTTTTATTTATAATTAAAATAATTCATTATAAAAAATTCAATGACAATATTTATGGAATTATAATTTTTTAAAATTTACTTCATAAAGATATATTTATAAGAAATTCATTACTGTTCTTCATTATTTCGTAATTTAGAAATCGAAAATTTTAACTTCATAGTTTCTTCCAGAAATAACTTCGTAAAATCCATAAATTTTAAGCTTTCCAAGGAAAAAAAAATACGAAAACGCATTCAACAATTTCTTTAATATTTCTAAATTTAAAGAGTTTATTACCTGGTGTGTGATTTACCATATTTTGCGCAAAACATTTTCGTCTCAGCTGTTAAGCGGACTACAGTTTATGCATTTTTGTTTATTTTGGAAAGTTTTTGGTTGCTTTATAACCAATTTAAATCTTAAGCAAATTACAGTACTTTTCAGTTAATCGGGAGAAAGAGATAAGTCGCCAAAAAATTTATACCACTGCCAAACTTTTTTTTCTTTCTTTTTTTTTTAATTTTATTTATTTTTGAAACAAATAAAAAAAAAATAGTGCGTGGAGTCCCTCCGCGTGGAAGAAGTTAAACTTCATAACCTGCGACGTTAATTGCAGAAGAATCAGCAGTCGTAGAAGGATCACTACTTCTATTCAACGACTCTTTTTTCTGCTCCGCTCGCTTCCGTGCTCTGTAATCACNGAAATCAATTAATTGTTCATAAGCACCAAATATGATAGATCTCGATAATACCAACAAATGTATAAAAACGTAAAATCTTAATTTGGAAAAATTCAATTAAAGCTTCGTATTCTTTAACACATTTCCTCGACATTTATCAAAAAACGAAACGTTCGTAACATCTCTGGAATCTACCAAAGGCGTCTATAGTTCGATGTAACTATAGACGTCTTACCGGAATCATGAGAACGTTTCAGGCGTCAGGGTGGAATTTCTAATTTCAATAGATAACCATTTCACGGAAATTAAGTGAAACAATTATCAACTCCACAAGATCCTTCATAAAAACAATTATATCCTCAGTTAAAGATATTATTTTTCTTCTTCGTTCATAAAGTAATAAGTATTATGCGTAGGAGGCAGAAAATCATATTCCGGAAAATACGCCCTTGTACTTATTATACTACGCCCGTCACAGAAGCGAAGGACCCCGTTGAAAAATTCGAATAATAATAACGAAATAAACTACAAAAATTAGCTCTACACAGAGGGTGGTATTATACGATCAAGTGTAAAAAGACCACCTCATATCGGAAGGCATAAAACAAAATTGGAAGCATTCGCATTTTGCGAACTTATATCTCATATTTCATTCAGTTTGGTTAACCTATGGCTGGCACCTATATAGTGTCACAATTGTCGGCAATATATCAACAATAATTACTGCTGCCAAAATGGGGTTTGAAATAATATTGTCTCAGATGGATTTCTCACTTGGTGGTCTTGGCTCCTGCCAGTGTTTGAAAACCCTGCCCGCTGTTTGCTCAATGGTATGAATGTTGTCGTTAGTGTTTGTACTGTAGGCCATGACACTTTAATTTTATGACCATTCATCAAGCAGTTGTTTTAAAATAAAAATCTAACGCTTAAAGTCTGTGAAAGCTGACGAGTATTGTATTTTTTGTATTAAATTGGAAGTTTTGTAATTAGTTGGTGAACATTACTGGTTTGAAAAGAATAATGCGTTAGTTTAAACTACTAATTTATCAAAGATTTAAAATGAAAAAAGTTATCAGAAAAAACTGCGGAAAATTTTTTCATTGAGTTGCACAATTAAATATGTAAGCTTGTATGTTTAAGCACAATTCCTTTAATTTTTTTTTCTATAAGCTGCTGAAATTTAATAATTTCTAAACTAGGTGGAATTAAAAGCAACCGTTTTTTAATATTTTTCATTATTAGGATAATTTCTCCATTTTAATAATGAAAAATATATCATTTTTGTAATTTTGTATTTAAATTATATTTTAAGATCATGCAATTGAATTAATGTTTAAAAATCATGCAGAAATTAAGTCAGTTATACCATACATTTGTTTTGCATTTTAAGACCTAAAATAGCCCTGATTTGTTTTATATTATATTTAATAACCGACGTTGGACAGTCGATCTAATTCTGAGTTTACTACTATCAATGTTTAACTAAGTAGCCTTCTAATTTTGAGAACAATCCAGAAGACTTGGGAGCTCTTGGATCAAGCATTGTTATAAATTAGTCTTTGTGGGAGACTGTTTGATGGAACTAACCCACATTTGCTTAATATAAGGAGGAAAACCACGAAAGGCTTCCACTGTTAATCCGAAGTCAAAAGGATTCGAACTCCTGATCCCACTGAAGGCACTTTATGTCAGCAATGTGGTTTATGTATAATTTGAGTAATACAAGATTGAAATTAAATTAAATATGAAATATAAACTCTGGTCACTGATAAACAATTAATTTAATTTAATAAATTGACTTTTATATTTATAAAATTTCAGTAACTTACTAAATGTTTACCAGGCATATTGGTAAACTTTGTAATTCAGTGTTTAGAAATTTCTAATAAAAAGCAATGAATTTTCGAAAAAAAACAAAAGTTAAAGAATAGCACTTCTCACAAAAGCATTAAAAGCAAATAATGGGATATTACCATCAACAATTTTTCAAGCTTGTTCTGTACTAAAACATATCCTTATCTGCCATATTCATATAACAGTATAATATTAAGTAATAATTGAGTTTTTTTCAATACCTTATACCAAAAGCTTACCAAATAGCAGTGATTTATCACTAAGTAAATATTTAAAAACAATTTTATATACAACAAACAATTTAGATACAAGAATGGGAGCATTCTTGACCAAAAACTTTATCTTCAGGATCAGAAAACAATTTATCCAAGATACTTCATCAATCTAGATAAAATTTTATTCATAACTAGAATGAGCTACATCATATTGTTGAAGGTGTTGCCCATATTGCAAAAGAAACCTCATTACTTGATTCAATCACTTCGGAACGTCAGAACTGTTGCCATTCCCACCTCCGCAAATTAAATACCGAAAATAATCTTCGGTTAAGAACTCTCCCCCGCCCTAGCTTGTCACTCCGTTTACCCTTATCGAAAACTTCGTCTTACATTACTTCCTTTTGACCGATTTTTAAGTTATTAAAAAATGGCATCAGTTTTTCCCAAACATGTGATAGGGTGATAAATGAAATCGCCATGATTGTATGCGAATGAAAAATGAACCTAATGTAAAAAATAATTTGAGAAATAGTTGTTTTTTCCCCCCTCTAGTCTGTCATATATTACTTGTTATTTGAAATCGGCACCATATAATGAGATTTTGAATTAGCTATTCATATTGCTTTTTTTAATCAGGAAATCATTATTAGTAAACAAGGTATAGTCTAGTTCTTTTGAAAATATTCTTGTATATATCAAA